AAAAGCCTTGATAATAGCATCATTCCAATGTACCCATGTTCCACTAATAAGAAATCCCTTTGTGGACTCCCCACTGAAGTCTCGGCCAACTTATAGCCTAGGTGGCAATTGTTTCTCACATCCTGAGCCTATTTTTCACTATGACTTGGAGAATTCAGCCACACTTCTCAGCTAGTCATTGAAGAAATAAGGGTTTGGGTAGGAAAATTCTGGTGGTTTTGACAATACTGTGTGGTTGTATCCAAAGAATTATGGCTCAAGGTTCAATAACAAGTGGTATCACTCAGGGGCCCACAGTAGGACCAGTGTTATTTTGTGTCTTCATTACTGACATAGCAGTGTTGCCTGCACCCTCAGAGGGTTTGCTGATGGCACCAAGCTGGGTGGTGCTGTTGGTGGGCCTGAAGGATGAGATGCCACCCAGAGGGACATTGGCAGGCCCAAGCAGTGGGCTCGTGTGAGCCACGTGAACTTCAAAAAGGCCACGTGCAAGACCTTGTACCTGGCTCAGGGCAATCCATGATAGCAGTACAGGCTGGGGGATGAATGGCTGGAAAGGAGCCCTGCTGAGAACAATTTGGGGATCATGTGGATGACAAACTTAGCATGAGTCAACAAAGTGCAATTGTACCCTTGGCTGCATCACAAAAAGTGTAGGCAGCAGGTCAAGGGAGGTGATTCTACCCCTCTACTCTGCTTTCATGATACACCACTTGGAGGACCATGAGAATATTTGGAGGGCTGAGAGAGATGGGACTTTTTAAAATTTATTTTGGCCTTTCCGTTTATAAAGGGGGCTTTTTACCATGGTCTGTGGTGAGAGGGCAAAGGGTAAGAGTTGTAAATTGAAAGAGCATAGATCCAGATTGAACATAAAGAAGATATTCTTTACAATGGGGGTGGTGAGGCACTTGAACAGGTTGCCAGGAGCAACTGTGGATGCCACATACCTGAAAGTGTTCAAGGACAGTCTGGATGAAATTTGAGAAACCTGGTCTAGTGAAAGATATTCCTGCCCATGGAAGGCAGATTGAACCAGAAGAGGTTTAAAATCCCTTCCAACAAAATCCTTCTGTGATTCCCTGAAATATTTTATGCATTGCTTATTCTTTCTAGAGGAAGGTGTGTGGCCTAACCACTGTATAGACGAAGGCTGGCGACAGCAGCCTTTACCCACAATTTCCCACCTGATTTTCTGCAGAATAGCACTGATAGGCATCTTCTGAGACCCTTAACAGCCTGGGTTCTCTAGGTAAGACAGGGAGTCATGTACAGTGCAGGGATCCCAGAAGGTTTCCACGCCTTGAACTCAGTGTTATCAAGACAAGGCCTCCTGGCTGTCTGTATTTCTCTATGGATCAAGGCACCTATTTATGCTTTCAGGTGCTAGTGATCTTTGATGCTTTGGACATCCTGTTCCAACCCCTTCATCGGTCCCTTTGAATGATTACTGCAACTCAGGATGACCAAATTAGGAATCTTCCAGCTCATGTGCATCATAATTGCTTTGCTTATCAGGGAACACACATTTTAGTCTATCACTTGGTGCCAGGCCAATAGCCAACATTTCCAGTACCAAGATTGGCAATTAGCCTGGTGGCTAGATGGGTTCACATGAGCATAACACTATTAATTAAACAGCAGCTGTGTTAATCAAGATACCAAAAGCAATTTGTTGGAATAAATATTTTATTAGCATGCCCATCAATAACACAAAATAAGAGGCTTTAATTGATTCATTTACAAAAATATTCACACAGTGGTGGCTGTAACTCTGTTTAAGGATGTGGAAACAAGTCTCATCTGTCAAAGGGTATATTCCCACTTTATCACTTTGTGTTGATGGTGCTGTAGATATCACTTGCCCAACTATAACTACTTGTTTGTTACAAGCCAAGCATTGCTGACCCCTCAAGCAGCAATACCTGGCAATTGATGCTAAAGGCTCTTTTTTCTCCTTGCTGTTTTATTCTTTCAAGAAAATGCATTCTGACTTTTAACTACAGAAAGATATTGTTGGATTATGGAGGGCTATTGTTAATCACCTCATCTTTTTCTTCCTATTGAAAAGACCACAAAATTGAAAGAGAGCGCAGATACACTTTTTTATTTCTCCTAATACTAATAACTAAACAGATGGGGGAAATGGTGTGTTTTAAAAAAATATACGTCATAAATATAACAGCTAGCAGTGATTTCTAATCTGAGGAATATAAAGAAATATATTTTTGAAAAGTAGAAAAAGGCTGCTGATTTTGCAAGAAGGTCACAGATTGGACAAACATTGAAGAGAGTGGGGAAAGATTAAGGGGAAGGTCTACTAAAAGAGCAGGATGTAAACTCTTTGGACTGTTAAAACTCAGACTTGTCATGACCCACATTTTTGGAAGACTTTTTTGAGTAGTTCTCCCCATGCTTTCTCTGTGTCAGGTCATTTATTACTTGTTAGAGTGGAAGTCTTGCTGTGCTTTGTCCACTTGCCCAACATCTTAGACATTTGAGAAATCTGCTGGAAGCACTTAGATACATTTTATATAATATGCATGGATATAGAGTCTACATGTACATATAAAGAAGGAAATGCATTTATAAAAATAAAGGTAATTTAATACAGAATACTACTAATAAGAAAAAAAAATACATTATGGGAAAGAGTAAATAATTTTAATATTTGATCTTCCTTCACAAAAACTTAACCCACAGCCTGTACTACAATTAATTTCTATCATGTTCATTATTTGCTCAGCAGTTCTAGTCTTCAAAATATTTTAGTCATTTTTAAGAAAAAGAAACAAATACCATTGACTTATGCAGTCAAATTGCACAACTCAAATGGTGATCAGGAAACATTGTAAATGGTGACATCCTGTTATGAAAAAACAGGTGACATCCTGTTATGAAAAATCACCTGAGTTCTGGTTTTTCCAAGGTAGTAATGCAAGATTTTTAAATTATATGTAACCTTCAGGTGGCACAAGCTCTGCATCTCAGGTATGATTTGCCTTTTGATCTCTTGGAAGACTTTATATTGTATTGTTTTAGTTGTCATGCCTGAAAGGTGCTCTAAACTGTGAAGTTTAAGGAAAAAATGTGCTTAATCTGCCAAGGAGTCAGTAAGCCACTGCTGGCCCCAGTTGTGCTGGCAGCTGATCCATAAGATCCCATTGTCATCAACAGCAGGATCTGGACTGCTCCTAACCACCCAGACAACTCTCAGCAGGCAAAGTGAGCCCTGCCATGTGTGTGGGTCCCATCCTGCTACAGCTCCATGGCACCAGGCTCATGGGGATGGGCAGCTCTGGCATGGATCCATCCCAGCCTCCTCCAGAGCTGGATTGTGTTTAGCTGGCTCAGAGCATCAGTGCTGCTCACCTGAGAGAGGCTGTGGCAAAACCACACAGCAAACTGGACACCAAAAAGCAGTCAGAGAAGCTGCTGATGCTGTATCTGCTCAGAATGAGAGAAAAGTTGGATTGAAGTCACTTTGTGAAAACAGCAGTGAGGTGAATGCCCTGGAGAGGAAGCTGTGACAGGGCTGTGCCACGGCGCTGTGACAGCCCTCATTCACAAGTAGCTCAGCTTCAGCGTACTGTAGCTTAATTCTCCATGGGAAGATTAATCCCTTGGAGAAGGATTAAGCTGCAGTGAACTAGGGCCACTTTATTTCTGAATGGGAAAGGCCACACAGGGATTTAATGCACTTTATCTTATGTGCATTGATTTCACAGCTTTAGTTAATTCATCTTAACTTCCCTGAATTCCCTTGTGTGGACAAGCTTTTTGTCTGCAGAGAGGTTTTTGGAGCTGCTTGTAAAGCTCCTTGTGCCAGGAGCCCAACCAGAAAGCAGGTTGGAATGATTTTTCTGGTTCTGAAGGAGCTTATACCTGTCTAGATACTATTAAATTACCTCTTTCTCAGATGGCTGATCCGTGACATCCTTAGAATAACTATTTTAATTAGATTTTTTGAATGGACTAGAGAAAAAGGAGTGTTCTTAAAACTAATCTCTGGGCTATTTTTGAAATCTCTCATGAACAGTCTTTTCAAGGCTTTCAGATGGCATGAATTGTGCACAGCTGCACAAACAATATTTTCTCAAGATTGGACATGTCTGGTTGTGCAGTTTAATAGATTTCCTTGCCCAGTGGGATTTTCTTCATCCTTGGTCATGGTCATAAGAAAACATTTTGTCTATATGGATAAGGAGAGAGTGGGGTTTCTATTTCTTTATCCTAAAGATCTCAATCCCTTCCTCTTGGTGGCACAAGTGATACAGATCTGGGTTAAGGAGGATGCTTTCATGGGGGCTGCTGTTAAAATAATGGCATGATTTGACTGTTGTTGTTCTTTGGGGAAATGTTGTTGTTCATTCCCTGCATAGTTGACATGAATTACATAAATAAAGTGTTTCCTGATGTCAGTGAATCATAACCTAGTTTTACTGTTCAGTTACATCGTGACAATTTACCTATCAATTTAAAATTTTGCCTAACAGTTCTTCACTGGGACACTTTATGTAGCACCAAAAGACATCTCCTGTGGATTCCACAGAAGCACTACTATGACTTAATTCAGTAGAAGTCAATAAATATTTTGGCATTTTGGTAAGCATATGAGGTGATTAGAGGCTGACATTCATGTGGGAAAAGCCATGTGAGAACAGAGGTATTGAAGAACAAACAAAAGTAACAGCTGAACATCAGGGTATAGATGTTTTCCACCAATATGACTCAATAGTAGTACTCATCAATACTGATCCCAGTGAGACTAGGAAAATATTTTAAACTGTAGAATGCATATTTATATATAAGTTATGCAACATGAGCAAAGGAGAGGAAATTAAATTAATTTAGCTCTTTGCACTGAAATTTGTAAATTCAGGAAATAGAAGTAAATATCTTTAAAATTTAGCTGTGATACCGGTATTTATCATTGTAGTAACAGCTTTATAAATGTTCTATATGTTCTAATGATGGCTTTTCCTCTTTTTTTCACACAGCTGATTGGATTTGTGTATGCCTGTTACGTGATCAGTATTTTCATGGAGGAGGAGGACAGCTGTAAGTACTGATACACACCTCACCATCCCTGGAGCCAAGGTACCTGGGCTGAAACTTAGTCTTGCATTAAACCACCAAGGCAAAGAACAAAGTTTGAAAAATGGCAGAATCTGGCAGTCATGTACACAACCAGTTATGCTTAAAGATATACTTATTTGGGTACTAACAACTTATCAAGGTGGGATTGCAATTTCTTAACTTCTTCATAGAGATTTGTGAACCTCTTACATGAGCCAGTCAAAGAGATGAAAATTATGTGATCAATGTTGCATATATATAGATATATATGCCTTTATGGATGTACATTTACACTCGAATCAAAGCTCCTGAAGCCTCTTAATCTGTTTTTCCAAATGGCATCTTTATCAGCAGTAAAATTAATGGAGAGGACAGACCAAGCCATTTGCAGTGTGCAGTATCACTCTGATCAATAATTAGGTAAACCTGATCTATGCTTACAGGCACCTAGACCATGTATTTAAAATGCTGACCCCATATTCTTGACATCCTTTTGTCCATGAAACCCTTATATATGTACTCATGTTGTTCCAAAAGTTTGAAAATGTGCACACCTTAAGAAAGTATTTCTCAAAAAATCATTAAGAGAGTATTGGAAAAATCTGAATAGGCTGAACATTTTGGTAGGATGCTGTGTGAAAAGTGGTTGTGAGGATTGTCTGAGGATGTCACCATATCCACATGAGTGGGATAGCCATTGGTAAAAGCAGTAGAGAGAATGGAAAAATATTGGATGAGCAGAGGACCGAATACAAGAACAAATTTAAAAAGGAACATGTGATCATTTAAATTACTTCTTATTTATGGGGAGGTAAACAGTAAAATAGCTCTCTCTAGGGGAAAAAAAACCCTAATGTCAATAGCATTTTATGGTTATAGCATAAATAACATGAAACTAAATATTTATTTATAAAAATTTTTATTCATAAATCTTTACATAGTTGTTCTGTTTTTTCACAGAATAGGTCTAGTGGGTGAATATCATAAGAGAAATTAATTTAGTTTGTAGTAAGGTATTTGATAATACCTGGAAAATCTTATTGAAAGCATAATTCAAGTAATTCATGTGTGTGATGGAAAAGTAGATTGTTTCATTGAAAACAGTGTGAAGGACTATAAACAAAATATTTTTTTATTGCTACAAATGGTACAATGTTCAGTTCTCCATCATAATGCAACAGACATTAGTATCAAATCTATTTTAACACTTTTATTTAAAGGTTTTATTAAGAAGAAAATATATCAAAGAGATCCTCAGATAAAACTGAGTGGTAAGGCATAAGCACTCACAGGGTGTGCACATATTGTACTGTGGAAAGGCAAAAGGAGCCTGGATAAAGATGGATGCTGTAAAGGAGAAATATGAACACCTGGAGAAGAAACATAAATAAAATGTAAGGCTTGAGGAGAAAAAGGCCAGAAAATGCTTCCTAGGAGAGCTGGAAACTGCCAGTTAGGAGGAACTGGTAACACAGGGCATCCGCAGATGGCACAGCAGCACAGTGGCTGGGTGGTTTGGGATTCATAAACGCAGCCTTTGCTCGGTGAAATCCGGACACTGCTCCTGTCCTGCTATGGCTGTGATGAGTCAGGCAGCAGCCAGGGCTTCATAGAGATAGCTGGAAACTTTATGAGACAGTCACTAAATGCCTGGAACAGGGGGGCTACACAAGCTGTTAGGGGAGGCCTGCAGGCTGATAAGGAGGACACAGACTGCAGTGCCTTTGAAGGAGAATCGTGCGTGCACATCCACACCCACATGCCTGCACAGATGCATCGGTACCTGGGAAGACAGACTCCTCCAATTTTTACAAAAATATGTTATATTGCTGTAGGCTTTGTTTAGCCCTTTATAGTGTGCTTCACACACCCTGTTTTAGGCAAGTGTGGAAGACAAAACTCTCAGGAAACTTTCCATGTTCATGGAAACTACAGTCACGTGCTACAGACCATACGTGACTTACACACTCAAGGCCTCACAAGACGGTTTTTTCCAAGTTAAGGGCCCTGTTCACTTTGAAAACATGTCTAGTTCAGGAAAGATAGGGGCTGCTTCATTTTCCTCTGATGGTGGTTTTGAGGGTTTTGAGCCATACAATACAGATGGAAATTTAATTTACTGAGAATGGAGAACAGGTAACATATTTATCAACCAATAAAATACATCAAGTGCTAAGGTGACCCAGTATGTAGACCTACCCCAGTTCCCATTCTCCTCAACTGACTCAGGGGTCTGCATTTAATTTCTGCTTGTCTTTCAGAACTGTCAATGACAATGTGTTCTACTGTTACAAGTGAAAATCACCTCACTTGTCTTGGAAAATATGGTGTAATGTCCTTTGTTAGGAATGGACAAATTTCCCATTTCACTTGTATCTTTACATTTGATCTTCTATACTCTTGTGTGAATAGGTTTTCTTTGTTGGCAGAGAATGACCTGGGGCTGGGGCCAGAGCAGTGCACAAAGGACAGAAAAAGAGGAGCAAAGAAGTGGAATAGATGCAGCTAGGAGATTTTACAACCATTGGAAAGAAGTAATTTCTGACTTGCTACTTTTTTATTGCCTTCTAGGATTCTAAATTGGATCAAAGCAAATAAGCAGCCCATTAATATCTCACTTTGTGTCTTAGTGCCCATTTGTGTTTTAGAGCCCTCTATGTTTATAGATAAATGCATTATAGACAAGTGTTAACCCCTTCATAAGAATCCCACAAATATGTTTTGAATAAAGAAATGTCTGTTTAAGGCACAGTAAGAAAATTGTTTAGTTTGATAATTAGCTGAGAAGAACAGGACTTATTCTGGAGAAATTCACATTGCTAACTTGCAGCATGAACAGAAATTTATTCTAGATGAACAGAAAATTATTCTAGATGTAAGCACAATGGTGCTTCAAAACATATTGAAAGTAGACTGTTTATATTAGGAAAAAAGTCCAAAAACCTGCAAGTAAGACCAATTTTATGCATTTAAATATGATGCAGCAGATCTTTTTCTTGGGCAGATGCAGCTATTCCATCATATTTTAAGCAGTAGTTTGCACAGAATAAATCCTCAGCCATCGGAGTGTCAAAGCCTCCCTAATTAAATATATTCTGCAATATTTAGTGCACTGAGTTAACCCCAGTTCTTGGTCTAAAGCCCATCAAGCAGACTTAAAAATTAATAATAGCTGCCTGTTTAGCCTCTATGCAGTGCTTAAATGGATTTGGAGCCTGACATTTCAGCTGATGGACACTTTTCTGAACAGTAATAATGCTTGAGGAAACATTTATTTCCAGCTATTGCTCACCCTACCTACACTTCATACTGTAGTTAACTTTTACTTAGAGGGAAGATGGTAGCAGGTCAAAAGGAATCGAAAAAAAAGGGACATGTAAAAGGCATACTACGGTGGTGGGGTTATTACCTTCCATCATTCATCCTAATGAAAAAGTCTATTTATATCTCTTCCCTTCATTTTTTCATTTCTCTCTTTGTAGATCTATCAATCTCTATAAGCCCTTTTGAAGGAGTTGAATATGTGAAATCTGTAATCATAAAAGCCTGTCACTATCCTGTTTGTGAATCATTTTCTCCTAAAAATGAACTCAGAAAGTGATTTCCACCTTGTCAGAGTTACTGTTTTAATTCAGTGTAGTCTGGAGAATAGGCAAAATACATTGCTAAAATCATGATTAAACTTCTAAATAGTTTCTTTGAGAAACCATTTTAGTAGTTAGCACTACTACTGCTAAATACTAGTTCATAAATGTGACACTGACACATGTCAGAAGTGATAATTCTGTAGTGTACTGGATTTTGTGGATTGGAAACTGATTTGTAAACAAATTGCATAAAGAAATAGCAGTGAAATCAGAGGGGAAGGTTTGCCACAAAAATACAGTTGTGATTTCAGCATCTTTGTACAAATGAGGCTGAAATGCCAAAAAGCCAATCCAATGAAACTTAAACATCTTTTGTGCATGGGCAAAAATAAAGGAAAGGGCTTCCATTCACCATGAAGATTTATCCCCTAAATGAAAACACAAGAACAAAATTAATAAACAAAAAAAATATTCTTTTTTGTCTGTCCTCTATGCTAGTTGTGTTCGCAGCTCAGCTGTACTTTCAGAACAGAGAGGAAGATGAATTTGTTTTCACAAATTACAAGTTTCCCCATATTGTGGTACCAATATGACCCTCCATATGCTATCATTACAAAGATATTAAGTAAAGCAAGATATATTATTACTTCCTTTGAAAAACTACTGCATTGCCTTATCTGACATATGGCATTGCATTCATACACACCATTGAGCATCTGTTCTCAGTAATCAAACAAGAGAAAAAGAATTTTATATCACATTTAATTTAATATTTATAGTTACACAGTAGGTCCAGCAGTGATAAATTTATTATAAATATGCTAATTTTTTGGAAAGTGAATGAAGAACTAGCTAACAATAGCTAATATTGAAAATATCTGATTACCTTTATATATAAGTATCCAAGTCTCCTTAACTAAGAAGTTTTTGGCAGCCCACTACTATCTTTACATTAATTGCAATTGTATATGCAGGTGAATCTATTTAAATTCTGAGAAAAGATTTTTTGTCATAAAATGTTTAATATCAAGGACCACCAAGAAGGAGAATTCTGCACCGATCTTCTGTTGGGCAGTACACGAATTAAACATCCCCAGTCAACAGCTGTCCTAAATTATCTCCTTGAAAATGAGGTCTTAGCAAAACTTTTCAAACAGCAGCACAGGTCATCTCTGGGCTTTAGCACTCACCACTGTCACCTTTAAAGCATAATGACTTGGAAAATAAATGTGTTGTTCCTGACCAGTGGATGAGTATGCTTGACACAGATGTTTAAAATGATAATAAGTTTTACTGCTTGGCAGAGAAGCAGCACTATAAGCTGCCACATTGACAACATTCTCCTGACTTTAGTGTTTCTGGAAAATGGGAGCAGTTACCAGAACTTTTGGAAGG